GACTGTATATGGTAAGGTAGATCACTCGAATAAGTTATAAAAAGAAGCGGGCCCAGTATCGAGCTTTGGGGGACACTACTTGTCACTAATCTATCTGATGAGTATGACTGACCAACTTTGACTCAAAAGCTCCTATTTCCTAGATAATTGTGAATCCATGACAATAATTTTCTTTGAATACCAAATGACTCGAGTCTGTGCTGCAGTCTGACGAAAGGGGTCCTATCAAAAGCCTTTGCAAAATCGTTGGTTTGGAAAACTATTTACCAACTTTAAATTTTGATGAGTATAGAATGAAGAGCTTTGGCTCGAAAACCATACTATTTGTATCACAGTATCATTGTTCGTATTGTTAGGAAAACCTTGTTTTCTTCTTTTCCTGATTAGAACTGCCAAAAAAATGAAAGTATATCATCTATATTTCACCAAAATTATTACATAGTATCCATAGCGCGCGAACGTATCTTCATCTTCATCTCTTAGTTGTGCACAGCTTGGATCGCCCGTGCTCTTCATCTCACCTCCAGGCGACTTTCTAAAAAGTAACGACAAGAGAATTGGTAGCATTTTTATCAGATTGGCGAGTTTCGTGTCTAGTTTGTCGCATATGTGATGTGATTCGATTTTGGTTTTATAGATTATTAGTTTGTCACTGCTCGTTTTCATTTTACATTAAAGACATGAATGTAGTTAATAAGTTAACAAAAGAAAAGGAGGAAGACTCTTGCATTCATTTGCATTTGAAACTTTTATTTACATGTTTAAAATGAAGAATATATACAACATAATTTTAAAATAAAAACACAATCCGGGGGGTTTTGGGTCGTCCTTTGCAGTTTCCTGCAGGGCCTATGGTGATACTTTCAACTATTTTACACGATGTTGTTCAAAAATATTGATTAGGCTAAATATAGCAGCCCTCATTCCTTGCCAGAGAGGCATTATTAAGGGGTTATGGGGTTTTTGTAGTCAGTAATTGCCACCAAAGATTGGTCTTGAGTTAATTTGGTATTTGTTCCCTGAAAAAGCAAGGAAAAAAACAGGGTTGTCAACTATGTACGTTGGTCTTTCGATAGTCTTCACTTTTGTGACAATTCACAGGACGTCTAACCCGAAAAACCACCCAAAGGAGCCACAGTTAAGGGTCCTATTATTGTCATCGATACATGCTCAAACACTGTTGGAGGCAACCGTGCTTTCTATGCACACCGACTTCCCGATGCATGTTGAAGATGCTATCCCTTTTCATCGGGGAGGCATCGTGCGTAGAAGTTTTCGACTGTTGATGTAATGAAATCCTTCATGTATGGCATATTTGTAGTAGCGTGCTTGTCTCGTATTCTAGCGTAACGATCGTACCCTAAAGCTAGCCTCAGACATCTGTTTTGTGCGCTTTGTAGCTTGTTATGATGAGTTTGTGCCATAGAACAAAAAACCGGACAACCATATGTCAATATTGGTTTAAATATTGTCTTACATAGTAGAATTTTATTGGACAGGGTAACTCTGCTTCGTCTATTCATGAGGGGGAATAAGGTCCTTAGAATACTGTAGTTTTTAATCACCCTGACTTTAATGTGTTGATGAACCGTTAATTCCCACAGTTCATTCTCACCACTAGTCGTTAAGAAATAAGCTAAGCTTAAAATGACATTTCTCCATTGCCAATGTCATTTTAGGCTTCGCTTATTTCTAAACTATTAGCGGTGCAAATGGCATAATCCCCTATCCAGCTAAAATCCAAGATATTTTAGTCTTAGAACATATTATATTCTAAGATTTTAGTGAATCTTGCAGAATACCATGTTTTTAACCGCGGAACGCCAATATTGCCAATTATTGAGCAGTGGTATATTTTTTTCTAATAAAGGGTAATAATGGAAAATTGACAGTGTCATTATATTTTTTGTATTATACGAAGGTAATAAAATTATCTCATTTCCAAAAAAGATATATAATATTCTCAATCATTATTAAATAATTAAGAAGATGTGAATGAACCCAAACCAAATTTTAATATCGTTATAACAAATAACAAAAGCATGTCGTTAATAACTCATTAAAATATAAAATAAACGAGGTGTGATAAACAAATATGGTGAATCAATTTTTTTAACATCAACTGCTAGCGTTACAACCATTTGATGTAATTTTTTCCATAGACTGTACCGTTGAAACAGGTAAAGTCAAGTTGAAACCAGTGAACTGGAGTGTGGCAAAATGCCTGTCGATAGGATTGAGATGCATGGGCGCAACCATTTTATTTTTCATCTCACTCGGGATTATTTATTATAACAATTTTCTATTTCACATTGTTATTATTTGGTCCACCAGATTTTGGACTGAAAAATAACAATCTGAAACAGAAAATGGTGTTTATAAATACTCCCGAGTGAGATGAACAATAAAAATGGCGGCGTCTATAGAGTCTTAACTAGTCCTATTGACACAACATGCACATTGGCATTCGACCCCAATTCAGTTAATTGGTTGGAACTATCAAGACTGTTGGAACACGTTCTGACTTGTCAGTCAGCGTCCAAGACAGCCAGAATGAGGTCGTGTTTACAGTACTTGTCGCGTATCATGTAATTGATGTATGGCGATAAAGTTGTAACTCTGAAGACTGTTTACAAGTGGTATGAGTGATTTAAAAGCAGAAATGAGTCGGTAGAAGACGAGCAACGCTCGGGACATCCATTAACCTCAGAAACAAAAGAAAGTATTCAAAACGTGGCAAAAATTGTTCGTTAAAATAGAGGAATAATTATTCAAGAGATTACGGGTTCGTGCAAAACATTTTAACCAATAATTTCTAAATGAGACGATTGTGCAAAATTTTTTCTCAGACCTAGGTATGAACAGAGGAAAATCGTGTCTCAGATCCGGATTTCATGTCCAAAATTGTAATTGAAGATGAATGTTGGGTCTATAGATATGACATTGAGACGAAAATTCAGATTTCTCAATGGAAAACCAGTGAATCTTCTCGACCTAAAAAATGCACATTAGTAAAAATCGTATATTAATGTCATGTTTATTGTTTTTTTTTTTAATCGTGAAGGAATAGTGTGATTAGATTTCGTTCTAAGGGCAATATTTGTAAAAGTTGAATTTTATAATGGCGTACTTCAACTGATTTAACACCATGCGACTTCTGGCTCTTTCCAGGAATTAAAACCGTGCTTAAAGGGTAACGTTTTGAAACCAGACACCAGTCCTGTCATTAAGAGGACCACGACAGAGCAACTGAGTGCCCTTTCCACATACTTTGATTTTCTTTACTATACGGTGCAAGAGAGAAGCCCGACACGCCCAACATAGGGCGCGGCCTACATACTATGATTTTCTTTTACTATACGGAGAATGGTCGCACTGCGCAGCTTTCTGAGTGCCTTTTAAAAGGAGATAGAAAACTCCGCCATTTTGAACCCTTATTACGTGTTGCCTACATCTTGACGCAATATTTTTAATACGTGCGTTTCAATCATCCGCTTCTGCTTCGGAATTGTCGGTTTTCTCGTTTTAATCTGACGAAGTATGTGCCGCGCCCTATGTTGGGCATGTCGGACCTCTCTCTTGCCCCGTATAGTAATCAAATAGCGTTTTCGATTGGTGAAACTGATGCGCACTTTTTAACACTCGGTACAAAATTTGTTTTCGACTTGTAAGAGACGTGCGAACTGGGTTAGTTTTTGAATTTTCGGTTGGAATCAGTTGAACTCAACAAATTGAACCAGTGCGCACTTTTGTAAACCGAGTATAGAGACAGGTTTTCAGTTTCAGTTCAGTCGTAACAAATATGACGATGGCAAAATATGTAATTTTTTTAGAATTTATAAAGAAATATTGGAAACTTCTTCGTCAGATTCAGACGAAGAAGATTTAATTGAGGCCAAGTTTAATAAAACTAAACTGCCAATAATAAAAGATTACGTTGACTCGGTGTTGTCGCACCTGGATGACTCCCAGATAGGTACCATAAATATTCTGTAATTCCTGTATATGCATAGTATACATTGACATTTTAAGAACATAAGCATAAGTAAGTTTATGTTAATCTGTTGATAAAATATTCTATAGACAATATTAAATAAATCTTTAAAATAAAAGCTTGTCTTGGATTTTGTTTGGAATTTGTAAGGTACTAATCACTCAGATGATAGCTGTCAAATACTATACAATGCACTGGGTGGTCAACTGTGTGTTCGGTTGGAATAAGTTTGTATAAAGTCACTAAATTGAACTAGTGCTGAGCAACGAAAACTCGCACTTCACGAGTGTGAACTGAGTATGACCAGTCGAAAACGCTAAAAGTATGTGGCGCGGCCATTTTGATTCCTATGCCACAGTTTATAGCTAATGAATCAGATCGCTCACTCCGCGACGGCACTTTCGATCTCAATGTTCCAGTTTATACACTGCGCAACTCGGATAATACAATATATGACAACCGCCTATAATAAAACAGTAGTCTTCTGCGTATCCTGAATTTGTATCCCTGGAGTGGATGTTATTTTGGAACTTTCAACTGGTCCGAGTGAGCTAACTGATTCTTTAGCCATAAACTGTGACTCCAAAAATAATATTCACTGACACTAACAGCAGCAAGCAAAATATCAGGTGCGTTTTAATCATCCGCTTCTGCTTCCGGAATTGTCGGTTTAGTCGTTTTAACCTGTCAGATTAAAACAAGATTAAAGATTAAAAATATTGCGCCAAGATGTAGGCAACACGTAATAAGTGATCAAAATGGCGGAATTTTCTATCTCCTTTTAAAAGGCACTCAGAAAGCTGCGCAGTGCGACCATTCTCCGTATAGTAAAAGAAAATCAAAGCATGTGGCCCTTTCAAAAAAAGCTTTCCAAGGATAGTACTGTGAAGGAAATTAAATTAAATTCCATTTAAACTTATTACTTTTTTCTAATAAAATTATTTTTTGATCACACCTCGTAAATTTTATTTAGCTGTAACGGAAATCTATTTCTTAGGACGATAGATGACCAGTGTGGTCATTCCACTGTGCATCCTGCTAAATGATATGTCATTCTGACATGTTATTGAATGTATATTAATTGTGTAGGTATTTTTAAAATTTAGATTTTCGGATTCTTTATACAAATATGGCGTAAGTAAAATTATTTTGCATCATGTGAATAGTGTACATCTTTTCATTTATTGTTGTTTCCAATAAAATTAGATCGAAAAAATGGGATGATGATTACGATCCACATAAAGAGAGAAAAAATGAAAATGGCTTAACGTAAGTATTTTTTTTAGTAATAGTAATAGAAAATTGTTAATGTCAATGATTTTTGTAAAATATACACCCCACAAAAATTATCGCATCACTAATAGTTTTCAAAAATTTGGAGTTTTTTTTTTGAACCGTTTGATTGATTTGGATATTCTTTTTTTGGAAGATAAGTTGATTCTTCAGGAATAATAATCTCTTTGATTCTTTAAATAAAATTTAATTTTAGAGTGTATACCGGATGTTACAATAATAGGTTTTTGGTTGGAAAATTCGTAACACCCTGTGGAGTGTACCAGCAATAATAGCATGTTATAATTAATAGCCTAATTTAGCCTCATTTTTCGCAAAAATTTATTTTTTTGATTGTTTTATTCTCTCTGTTATTAGAGGAGAAATACAGTTTTTTTGCACTGCCTGTTTTTATAAACATACATTGCAAACATTTTAGTGATGCGATAATTTTTGTGGGGTGTATATATACTCCATTATTGAGACGCAACTTTGCTTTCACTGATAGATGACTTTAATTTTTTAACAAAAAACCATTCTTTTATTAAATTTGGCGTATACATTTTCTAGTTTTATTTAATTATTGTTCTCTACACAGTAAAATTTAATTTTAATTAAGAAATGTATTCAGAAAATCTACTAAAAAAAAACAATGTCACAAAAACTGTTAATAGGCGACATTAATATAAATATCCAAAATGTTAATATTACTCCTACATATAAAGATAAACATAGTGATCAAACAGGCCATATTATCCTTTACATTATAGGGGGTGAAATTAGCAACCCTTACTTTATTTCATCTCGAAAAAAGTTTTGATATGAAATAAAGTAAGGGTTGCTAATTTCACCCCCCTATAATGTAACAGGAAAATTGAAAAAAATACCCGTGGTTAGTCCTTTGCGAGTGCACAAAAATTACAAAATTTTAAGTTCCTAGCTTTACTGAAATTTTATAAAAAAAATAAAAACTCAATTTTAGTCACCACCTTTTAAGGGTAATATCTCGGAAAGGGGTGGGACTGAGGAAATTTTTTTATAGTCGAGTATTTGTTTGCTGTTATGTTGTTGGGATAACTTTAAAGCGCCCTGATTACTCTGCAGCTTCTTGTTGTTTTCTATATTTCCTTGAATGTCACAAGGGAATGTTATTTAAACAGGTTTGCCACTACCGATTAATAAGTCCAATTAAAGTATTTGGTTGTCTGCCTTCTTGTCTATTGAATCAGCAAAACGGTTACGTTTTGATGTGGTGACATCTGATTCATCTTAAATTGACCACATTATTGATAGATGATACTTCGGCCTAAGCTACGTGATATTCTAGTACTAACCCTGAGTAAATTATTAATGGTCTGTTCAGGATGAGTAGTGCTTCTCTGCTATCTCTATGTTTGATACTGTTTCTTTTAACTTCTTTTAATGCTATAAGTATCCCGTGAGCTCTATTTGAACTGCACTGAAATTATTGCTCAGAGTACATTTTATATTTAGGTTTAACGATGGGTACTGTCACAGCCTAAGCCTATTTTTCTTTTAGAATCGTCGGTGTAGATATGAATTTTACACTTATAACTTTATATGGCTTATGAAAGATATATCTCTGTGAGATTAAACTTTTATTTCCTCAATTTCAAACTTTTCAAAAATATATTGAAAAGTAGAATAAATAATTACTTAAATACAAATAACATTATTTCTAAAAAACTACTAATAACATACTAATTATATAACTACTAATTAAAAAATATCAAAATAGGTAGACAGTAGAAATGCATCATTGTGTGTTTTCATCGACTCAGCGAAGGCATTTATCATAGTAATTGTCAGTGGAATCAAAATTACGTCATCACTAATTTAGCGTCTTTTGATTGAAATGTATGTAATCGTTTTATAGACATAGTGAAGGTATTACCAATGTAATTAAAGGCTGTTTAGGAACAGGCCTACTAGCATTACCTGAAGCCTTCCATTATGCTGGGACCATTAATGGAATAGTTATGTTCATTATCATCTCTATATTTGGTACCTACTGCTTTCATCTCATGGTAAGTCAATAGCACTGTGTAAACGGGAAATAACATTTTTGTTGTTCGGTTCCAGAACCTCAAATCAAACTCCAGTTTCGTAATCCAAAGCTTAACATACACCAATCACATCTAGATTGATTCTAGATTGAAAAATAATGTAATCATTGGTACAAAAATGATTGTGATTGTTGTACTCGACATACGCTTTGTGATACAGTATTTAGCACTCGTGTTAAAAAATATTACTTTCCTCTTTCAATTTTTGTCAGAATATTATAATCCTACAAAATAGTTTTTCTGGAATTTTCGAATATTTTAGTTGTAAATAAACGTTCTAAGAGAAGAATATTTCAAAATTGTATAGATTAAACTTATGTTTAGGTGTTTAAGTTAATGTTTATTATTGTTATGATTATATTTAAGGTTGTTTTAGTTTTTCAAACCAATATATTTTATTTTTTTTAAGCTATATTCGACGTATTTACTTTGCAAGATCAAAAAGGTGGGGTTCCTTAGCTATGCTAATGCGATGGAAGCTGCATTTGAGGTTGGACCAAATTTCTTTAAAAAAATGGTACCATGTTCAGCGTAAGTATAATTTTTATTGTATTTATTTCTGTTGACACGATATCAAGATTTCAATCTCAGTTTTGATGTGCTATAACTATTATTTGTTGAAATTTATATGAATATGCTAACCAAATAAATGTAATTTTATACGAATTTGAGTATAATCAGAAACACTTATTACAGATTAAACGACTTAACTGTAAGGAAGTTAAATCTTAATTATATGAGAACCACGTCCACATAGAACAAATATGTAGGAACGCTTTTAGTGTTACAAACGCCACTGTATTTTAAAGAACTTAAGGTCTCTTTGTGAACACATCTGCATAACCCACTCAATACGTTTGAAGTGTCCAATTTAAAACGAGCCTATTTCGATCCTATTTAGCCCTGCCCAAGGTAGACCTGTTGCTTTCCATCGAGCGGTAGATATACGACACCGTACAAATCTGACAAACCTGAGCCCTTTGTTGGCCCGTTATACCTATATGCACCTTTATGTTTGTGTTAGAGAGAAAAAACGATGAATCTGCCCATGCATCGTATGGTTACCGATCTGCTTCCTCGAATTTTGTTGAAAAATAAATAATTATTGTTAATATTATTCCTAATTGCAAAAAAGATTTAAGTACATTTTGATAAACATAATGTTTAACTCATATAGAACCATTTAATTAGGTTTCTAAGGGCACAGCTTGCATAAACAAAAAGTATAGGTACATTTGCATAAAAAAACATTTTGGTAAATTTTTGTTTTATAATATTTCATATTTGTCTTAAATTTTGTGACAGACGTATACATATGAGACCTGATTTAGTATACTTAAATTCTCATAAACAAACTATTGGAAAAACCTAGTTTTCAGTAGGCCTTTATAAATTTTGGGTACTTATATTTATTATTATGTCTTGATGTTATATGAACGGTCAATAAAAATTGACTGAAGTCAACGTCACTTTTATTTTTCTACTCTTATTTTTTCGTCAGCAAAATCAGTATTATACAACCATTTTGGCACATGTTTATTTCTTGATATTTTAAATTCTCTGCTTTGCATTTTGAAAATGACGCATATATATCATTCCTGATTTGGTGCAGGTACGTTTGCATAAACAAATATATTTTAAGCAAATTTTTATTTCTTGATACTTAACATTTGCCTTACATTTTGTGACTGACACATAAAGATCAGTTATGATTTAGTATACATTATATTTGCATAAACAAATATACTTTGCCACATTTTTATTTCTCGATATTCCATATTTGCCTTAAATTTTGTGATTGACGCAAATTACATAATAGAAACCACTAACTTGTCGAGAAGTTCCTAGAATTTCACCAGCCGGCAGTTCAAGTTACTTGTTATCTCTGAACAAGTGTTTAACATATTTTTATTTTACACTCAGTCTGATGTTTCGGTCCGACACCATGGTTAGCAGTTTGGCATGTCCCCATGTCTATGTGGCGGTTGTTAAGGGTGGATTTGCGCGCCTTTCCTTACAAAATGCAGACCACTTAACAATTATTGCCAACTGATAGGCCGCGTCGCATCCAATACGGTCGCAATATGCAGGACATCCTTGCCGGTCAACCTGATTTTTGAAGCTGTTTGATCATCACCGATGAAGCACATTTCACGCTGTGTGGCGTTGTTAATACGCAAAATACCCGCTTTTTGGGGCATTGAAAATCCTCAAATGATCTTCGAAGAGCCGTTGCATTTCCCCAAAGTCACTGTTTGGTGTGGTGTTTGTGCTGAAAGGGTCATCGGCCCGTACTTTTTCGAAGACGATAACGGCGCCACGGTAATAGTCGCGATTTTGTGGCAAATGAGGTGGACGAACATGACATGGGAGACTATTGGTTCTAGCAAGACGGCGCAACATGCCAAACTTTTAAGTAGGAATTTTAATAAAAAATACAAAATTTATACATAAATATATAAATATAGAATTTGTCTAATAATGGATTTATTGCGTGCCATGTTCCCGAATCGATTGATATCGAACTACGGCGATTTCGACTGGCCGGCTGATTCACCAGATTTGACTGCACCTGACTTTTTCCTGTGGGGATACCTAAAGGGAAAGATTTATGCCAATAAACCAGCCACTCTCCAACAACTTAAGGCCAACATACGCCGAGAAATCGCTGCCTTTCAACCCAGAACACTCCAAAAAGTAATGGAAAATGCCGAAAAACGGGCCGTCCGTGTGGCGTCCGGAGGTGGCCACTTGGCCGATGTCATCTTCAAAAAGTGACCAAATAAATTGTAATGGATCTAGTTTCAATATAAAAAAACATTTATTACAAAAAATTTACTGTTTGTCAAATTATTTAAAAAAAAACTTCGGATACCACTATAAGATACACCCTTTAAAAATATTTTTTTTTAAAACGATTTTTCAAATCGTATTATATTTTTCAATAAACAAACATATTTAATTTATATTGAGCAACTTTAAATTTTGTAATTTCTTCATCTTTGCTTTAATTTCTTTTAATTTTTCCTACTTCTTACGATTCGGCATTTTACACTATCAACACTACGTATGAATCACCATTTATCACGTCGCGGCACGTACTGAGGATCACGGAGAGGCCTGGCTAGATTTAGTTCTTTAAAATACAGTGGCGTGTGTAAAATCATAAAATCAGAGGCCTTACTATATGGTATGTAAGGACGTGGTCCGTAGTGTAACTGGCAGTGATGGATTGATGTTACATCGATCTCAAAAACATTGAATAAATAGGCAACATTGTAGTTCAATCATCAATTGATGAACAAACAAATACATGAAGAGACCGCACTGATTCCGAAGTTGCTACAACAGTTGAATAAAAGAACACGTCATTATTAATTTTTATAAATATTTACAGGGTTATGGTGCACATCGTCATGATGTTATACCAGACTGGAACAATGTGCGTCTACATATTATTCATGGGATATAATATCAAGATGGTATGCGACCAATATTTTCCCGAAAAACATCTTCTGTTATACATATTGTATACTTTTCCTGCGTCCCTGTTACTGACTTTCATACCGAACATGAAATGGTTTACGCCGCTCGCAATTTTTGCAAACATCGTGAGTTTTGTGACATTCGCAGTGATTTTCTGGTACGTTACTCGAGACTTGCCTCCTTTCAGTTCCGAGCCATATGTCGGACACTTGAAAGATTTTCCTTTGTTTTTTGGGACGAGCCTTTTTGCGCTGCTCTCTGTGCCAATCGTAAGTTTTAATTTTGAATATTTTTCTCATCATACAGGAATTTTTTGAATAAAAATTATCCACTCATAAGGTGCAAAAATACAAAAATCAGTCAAAAATCATAAAAACAAGGACGTGTTTATTGAATATTAATCATTAAACCATCTTCTTTGCATCATTTTTTGAAATTGTGAATAATATCCTAAATATATATATCAAGAGATTCTGAGAACTGTGCTGATACTGCTAGTAAAGTAGTGACAACATAAAGTACTAATCTTTTAGGCGAACTATACTCTCAATTACATTATTTATGGAAACCAAAAAAATAAGCGGTCCCAGGACAGACCTTTGAGGGACACCCCTAATAATATTACATAATTCAGTTATTAAATTCTTAATTTTGACTGATATTGTCCTAGTACTAGGGAAGCTAACTAACTGAAACAAGAAAATATCTGTAAAGGTCAGTGTGATTTTTGATTGTATTGACCTTTACTTGATAAAAGTCCATAATAATTACTAAAAGAAAATCCAAAACATGATAGTTTTGACGAGTTTACATTACTGTGTTTATTATATAAAAAAAGTTAATAAATGGGATTAAATTCTCGATTGTTTTGATGAAAACTTATAATTATTACTAGGAGAAAAGCTAAAATATAGTATCTATATATCATATCAATAAATATACTTTTTTAAGATTCTCAGCGTAGAAAACAATATGGCAGATCCTGCGTATTTCGTCGCCCCTGTAGGCGCCTTAAATATTGGATTCGGCACAGTCACTGTTTTATATGCCATAGTAGGCATTTTGGGCTGTTGGAGGTATGGGGAGAAAATTCATTCATCAATAACGCTAAATTTTCCTGCAAACGACGTGTAAGTACTAAATTTCATATAAAATCTACAGGGTGTCTGTAAAAGGTCTTTACAAAAACATACCACATATTCCTTAGACTAAAATAAGTCGATTTAAGTAAAATTACCTTACTACAAAGTTGCTTCGTTTGGCCTCCAGAGGGCCTTGAAGTTACAATTTTTAAATCGTTTTTCCCATATAAATTTAAAACGGCATATGCGATTTTACTGAAATTTGGTATATTGGTAGAGATTTATGTGGCAAAAAAAATTGTATTAAAATTTTGTCCGATAATAATACATAGGCGTAGAACTTGATTTTTTAAATAATTGCATCTTTAAAAATTCTACGCCAATGGAAGAAAAGGAGTTTGAGTATGAAATTTAGATTGCGCAACTCATTAACTTTAAAAAAGGTACTCTTGATAAGACTCGATTACTTTCATGGTTTTCGCTAAATTTCTGTTTTAATAATTTAGAGTGTTTTAGGTTCCACAAAAATATTTATTTACAACAAAATCAAAATAGAGATTTTACAAAAATTGTTCAAAATGTTCACCATTTTCACGCATACAAAGATTTATACGTCGAAGAAAATTAAAATGTATCCTTTCCATAACTTCTTCATCACCTCTAAGATTGTTTATTGCATCTTGAATACGTTGCCAGAGTTGTTCCTCATTTTCTACAGGTTCTTTGTAAACTGTGGATTTCAGATGTCCCCATAAAAAGTAATCCATCGGTGTTAGGTCTAAGGAACGTGGTGGTCAGTTTACAGGTGCGTCATTACCTCTGCCTATCCATTTGTGTGGATATTGTTCATTCAAGTGGTTTCTAACGTTTAAAGAAAAATGTGGTGGAGCTCCATCTTGCATAAACCACATATCTCTCCGAAGTTGGAGAGGTAAATCTTCCAACAATTCTGGCAACGTATTTTGTAGAAAATCTAAATAATTTTCTCCAGTTTATCTTCGCGGAAGTATGACAGGACCAACAATGAAATTACCAATTATTCCAGCCCACACATTAATTTTGAATTCGTGCTGAAAATGATTTACCTTTATTGCATGCGGATTTTCAACGGCATAAACATGTTCATTATGGGTATTAGTTATACTTCTTCTTGTAAAACCCGCTTCATTGGTAAAGAGAACCTTCTTGACAAAGTTTGGATCTCTTTCTCTTTGCATATTAACAAATCGACAAAAACCCAAACGAATTTGAGGATCATGGACTAATAATTCTTTTACTGGCTTCTTATGGTATGGATATAACAATTGTTCTCTAAGCACTTTATGAACGACATCTTTACTTACTCCTAGTTCCCTTCCAATTCGTCTGGTGCTTAATTTTGGATCTTCTGCAACACGTTCTAAAATGTCTTCTTCAACTTCAGGAATCCTTACAAAACGTTCTCTTCCATTATCAACAGTGTTGGGAGCAAAGGAACCGGTCTCCCTAAGACGTCTCTCAACAGCAGCAAAAGTTGGGTGGCTAGGTGCACGACGATTTCGAAACCTTTCAGAGTACACCCTGACACTCTCTCGAGCATTTCCTTCATAAAATCCTAATGTCAGTAACATATCGGTATATTCTGCATTGGTATATTGTACAGCCATATTAATAAACCACGCATTTGTTTTTTTAATTATTGAGTCAGATAGAACACTTTCAATCGTTAACAAGAGATTAGGTGTTAAAATTGACAATATTTTTATTTAGATGAAACTATGGAAACCAACAATAAATGTTTTTGTATACGTCTTGCAGGCAAATAATATTCCTCAAAAAATCGTACATGGCAAGAATCGAGTATTTTTGTTAAAAGTTTCGATTAGAGGTGTTGAAGAAGATATAAAAAAAGTACATTTTTATGTTTTTCATCGTATAAAATTTTGTCCGATGATAATAATATATAGGCGTAGAACTTGATTTTTTAAATAATTGCACCTTTAAAAATTCTACGCCAATGGCAAAAAAGGGGTTTGAGTATGAAATTTGGATTGAGTACTCATTTACTACAAAAAAGTACCCTTGATAACACTCGATTTACTCTCATGGTTTTGAGAAAGTTTGTATTTTAATTAATTATTGTTTATGTTCTAAAATTACTAAAATGCAAATTTCGTCAAAACCATGAGAGTAATCGAGTCTTATCAAGAGTACCTTTTTTAAAGTCAATGAGTTGCGCAATCTAAATTTCATACTCAAACTCCTTTTCTTCCATTGGCGTAGAATTTTTAAAGGTACAATTATTTAAAAAATCAAGTTTTACGCCTATGTATTATTATCGGACAAAATTTTAATACCATTTTTTTGCCACATAAAACTCTACCAATATACCAAAGTTTAGCAAAATCGCATATGCTGTTTTAAATTTATATGGGAAAAACGATTTAAAAATTGTAACTTCAAGGCCCTCTGGAGCCCAAACGAAGCAACTTTGTACTGAGATAATTTTACTTAAATCGACTTATTTTGGTCTAAGGAATATGTGGTATGTTTTTGTAAAGACCTTTTACAGACACCCTGTATATATAGTATAGTTTGACGTAGGCGAGCCAAACTGGTCAATGGACTAAGGGCCAAGAAAACGACAATGGCGCACCGCATGCAGCCCACGAGCCTTATGTTGTGCAGGCCTGGTCTACAGTGATTCTAAATTCTTGTATTTTTTATTTATAAATTAGTTTAGGATAATTCATTAATGTTTCTTTGTATTTTAGACTTTCTCAAACGATAAGGTCATTGTATTCTGTTGCTATATGGATCACATATGGTTTCAACGGTGTGGTACCACGAGATGTTGTTTGGATCAATTACATAGCCCCACGCCTAAAAGAGGATATCAGTGCTGTAAAAAAATGGACAATCGATTATACTCTACGATTCATAATTGTAATAATAACTTGTAAGTTATATGGTTTCCAAAGTTCATCCAATTTAACTTCTACATTTATGGCCCAGTTATAGCACTCAAATTTAGAAGAAGTTCAACTGAATCTGGTTTTGACTGTGACAAATGTCATAGTAATTATACAATGATGTCACAGTCGAAATCAGGTTTACTTTAACCTTCTCTGAATTCTGGTGGTACAAGTAAGCCTATAAGTGAAATAGATTAAAAAATGGTACCTAGTTTTCAATATCTTCAAACATCTCTAAAATCTTTTACATAAAATATGGTGACTGTTACTGTTACTACCAAAACTGCATTTTAAGCTAAAATTGATTTTTAGATATAATTTCAATGGGCGTGCCATTATTGGGACCGGTTCTTTCCATGACTGGTGGAGTTTGCCTGTCCCTGTTGGGTATTTTGTTTCCTGCTTTCATGGAAATATGCGCTTTGTGGCCAGACAACTTTGGTAAACGTAAATGGATTTTATGGAAAGACTTTTTGATATGCTTGATTGGATTAGTGGGACTTGCCGTAAGCATGTATGCGTCAATACGAGATATTATAGAAGAATTAAGCCAAAATCCAGTAAGTAAGAATATGTAGAGGATTGCAAATAAATTATGTTCATAATCATAAAACTAGCTATTTAGTTCTGGGATTTAATCTCCCCAGGCCGCTATATAGTTTTTCATAATTCATTAATTGTTTTAATGAACAAAAAAAAATACTTGTGGCCTCGGGGACTGCCGCGGTAAAGCTATTGCATAGCATTTTTTATCAACTTATGCAATTATAATTATTTATTTATGCAGTATTTTTTTTCTTTGATAATAATTCAAGTTACACTTTTTGAGCGTGGTGATCGATAAGAAAACAATTTTTTTTTTTATTGAATAAATGAGAAGTTATTGTAGGTTATTCAGGAATTTTTATCATTGAAACTATAGGTTTATGGTAACTGAAATTAGAAACATACGTTTGAGACTTAATATCCTCTAAATATTTGAAAAATACCGCGTCAATGGTGGTTCCATATTTTTTTGTGGATTATTATTCATTTTCAAAATCAATTTTTCCCAAATTGTGTCTAAAAGAGATAGAATCAGTTATGAGCAGTTAGCAGCTAGTCTACACGCAAGCACACAAACACCGTGCCGAAGTCTGCCGAACTGAAACGACGTTAGACGATGCACGGCTTTCAACGCCGCACCGTTGTGTCGATCGGAATGGGAGGTATTAGATTTATTTTCGTTACGGAATTTCTTTTTCGATGTTTCGATTTTTCGATTTTTCGATTTTTCGATTTTTCGATTTTTCGATTTTTCGATTTTTCGATTTTTCGATTTTTCGATTTTTCGATTTTTCGATTTTTCGATTTTTCGATTTTTCGATTTTTCGATTTTTCGATTTTTCGATTTTTCGATTTTTCGATTTTTCGATTTTTCGATTTTTCGATTTTTCGATTTTTCGATTTTTCGATTTTTCGATTTTTCGATTTTTCGATTTTTCGATTTTTCGATTTTTCGATTTTTCGATTTTTCGATTTTTCGATTTTTCGATTTTTCGATTTTTCGATTTTTCGATTTTTCGATTTTTCGATTTTTCGATTTTTCGATTTTTCGATTTTTCGATTTTTCGATTTTTCGATTTTTCGATTTTTCGATTTTTCGATTTTTCGATTTTTCGATTTTTCGATTTTTCGATTTTTCGATTTTTCGATTTTTCGATTTTTCGATTTTTCGATTTTTCGATTTTTCGATTTTTCGATTTTTCGATTTTTCGATTTGTCGATTTGTCGATTTTCTTTTATTGAATAAATGAGAAGTTAACATTGTTTAACGCCCCTCCGCTATGCCGGTCGGAGTGGGGGTGTTAGGTTTTTTTTCGTTACGGAATTTTTTGATTCGGTCGCCGCGCTAAAAGCCCGCGATAAAAGCTATGCAATATCTTAAAAATTTATTCATTTGTGTTAACATTATTTTTCCATTTAATTTATATATTTTTTGTTTTAGTCTTTACACATTGGCGACATTATTTTAGAAACGCTAGAAGACCCATTTCTTTTAAAGGAAAAAAAACTAGAAGAAGCATAACCTAGTTTTATTTATTCTGATTCTATTTATAATTTTTATTTATTAAATAAAATTAAAAAAAATACGGTATATAGTTTAATTTTTGGAAAATTGCTACTAGAAACATAAGTTAAATCAACAGTAGAATTGGTAAACAACTTGAAAAGGTATTTATTTCATTAGTAGCCATACATGTGGAGAAGGTGGGTTTCTACCACAACACTAAGGCCTCGCTAGAACCATTGTGCATCCTCCAGGAGCTGTCAATGCTGTAACATTGGCATTGCTTGCGATAAAATCGAAAACAAAGTTATGATATTGCTTATAATAAAAATTTCCTGGAACATATAAGTAAGTTGTTTTAAATACAAGAGAAATAAAACCAAGAATAATAAAAAATGTATTTATTAGGTTAAAATTAACATTTTATAAATGTGCAAAATGCCTTTAAGAAATAAGAATATATGCCCAATTAATATGGATTTTCTTGAGCAAACTTTACTCTAAGCCAATATTTATATCTGATTTACATTTATAAACATGTTTGCCCAACAACAACTAACTACAATATTCACATTTTGTGTTAATTAATACCAGAAGGCTTGCATTAGTATGCAAAGCTTGAGTCTCACCTTCTTACCAAAATTCGTACGAGATATTGCAATATAATTTAAATCGGTACATGTCTAAGGTTAATACCACTGATATGCAATTTTGGTGGTGATATTAGATATAAATTGATGCATGACTTATTGTAAGATATCACTTCTGTCTAGTTTCTTTGCAGTGAAGAAATAACACAAAAAAATATTCAACATGTTCAAAATCGTAAGTAAAACTTTTATTTTGTTTTCTACTATATCTGCGGGGTATTCTGTTGTCCTATTTTATGACTAAAGTTTTATGTAAACATAAGCTCTATAAAAGATAGAATGTGTTAAAATTTATTTATAAAATCAGTTTTTCCTAATATTCCAAAAGCTCTTTTGAAGAGTTTGAAAGGTTTGTTGTAATCCCAAGGAGATTATTTAAACCTGAATATGCATATAATAAATATAAATAGTTCCTTTATTCATGTATCAAATGTACAGGTACATAGGTTACAGCACTTCCATTTACAGCATATATCTAAAATTATTATTATAATAAGAATAAAAAATATTTATATATAAATCTTTTGCAAGTTCGTCAGCCCTTTCATTGCCTTCGATCCCTTGGTGACCTGGCACCCCAAATAGTTTTACTCTATTCTGGTCTGTCCGTGTTTTTAGTTCTTCGATGCATTCCCATACCAGCCTCGACGTAACTTTCTGACTCAATATGGCCTTAAGTATCGCTTGGCTGTCTGACATTATTTGAATATGTTGATTTTCGACAGCTCCTTCATTGTTCGTTTTTGCACATTGCAAAATTGCATGTACCTCGGCCTGAAATACAGAGGAATGTATTTCTATAGCATAGAAATGGTTAGTATCAGGGTTTTTGGAGAATACTCCTGCCTCAGTGCCTTCCGCAGTCTTAGACCCGTCTGTATACCAGATTTGTTTCTGTTGTTGGGCATTGGGCTCCCTTATGGTGATCTCCACTTTTTCCTGTATTAAAACCTAAAATGGAGTATTAAAAGAATACCTTTTGGTTATGTGGTCTGATCTCATGTCTAGCACGTCTCCTGTCACTAACCTTGAGATACTCATGTGACCTGGCCTATTATCAAGATTTCCCAGTGTATTCCCTAATCTGTAAGCACCTAATCTTGCTTCCCCTTATATCACATATTGAAGAGGTGGGAGTCCTATTAGTGCTTCCATTGCAGCTGTAGGGGTTGTTTTCATTGCCTTCATTATTCCGAGGCAGGCAAGTCTATGTACTTTGCTTAGCCTCGTTATTGCTTTCCTATGCTGTGTCTTTGGCCACCACACCAAAGCTGCGTATGTAATTATCGGTCTCACCACCATGTTATAAAGCCAATATACCATGTCTGGTTTTAACCCCCATTATTTCCAAAGGATCGCCTTGCCATTATTAACGAGGTTTCTGCTTTCCTTGTGTTTTTTTCTAGATACTGGTTCGAGCCAATCATAACCTTGAGATATTGTACCTCCCCCTTAAGCTGGATGCTTGCGCTTCTTAAGTTTAGAGGCCCTAGTCCCTCCAATTTCCTCCTGCGGGTGAATGCAATTATGTCAGATTTGTTTGGACTAATGTTTAGTCCTTTCGCCTCTGTCCATTTTGTTACTATATTTAGAGCCTCTTGCTTTCGATTTCTTACTATAGTGTTGTATTTTCCCTGTGCCATGATCACTAGATCAGCAACATATCCCAGGGTTCTAAGTCCCTTATTTTTGAGAGCCCTAAGCAGCCCGTCCACTACAAGGTTCCACAGGAGTGGAGACAGCACTCCACCATGCGGATATCCTCTCGCTACCCGTGCTGCTATTGTCTCTCCCATAAGGGTTGCGTGTATACTTCTCTCCTTTAACATAGAGTCGATCCAGCACACACACGTGTCCTCGATTCCTCTGTGTTTGAGAGATCTAATGATCGATTTAACGGAAGACAAATGCACCTTCCTTATCCAAGAATGCTCTCAGCATTACCTCCTTGTTTTCCAGTGTGTTCTCCACCCCTTTTATTAATTGATGGAGAGCTGTTTCAGTTGATTTTCTGCACTATAGGCGTATTGGTCTTGGTATATTGGCCACTGAATCAATATCCAGTCTCTAATATGCCTATCTAGCAGTTCTTCCAAAGTCTTAATTACAAAGGACATAAGACTTATTGGTCTTAAGGAATTTGCCGTTTCCTATCCTATTTTCCCAGGTTTTGGTATAAAAGTTAACCTAATATTTCTCCAAGCTTTTGGTATGTGTCCAAAGGCCAGATTACTTCCGAGTATGTTACAGAGTCTGCTTGTATCAAATATTAGGACCTCTTTGTAACATTATTGGATAAATTCCGTCCATGCCTGGTGATTTATATGGTTCGAATGAGCTTATTGCCCATATTAGTTTACTATAGTTCAACCACTTGTTTGGCTATCCTCCAATCTTCCCTGTTGGCTCTATTATAGTACTTATAAGTCTATACTGACTTTTTGCAACATAAATAACTTTTTTAATACAAATAGAATATTTTTCTTTAAAATTAAAAATGTAATAAATCATACTTTTTGAGATAAGCAAACATTTTTAAATATTATGGGTCGATTCTGAGACAATTTATAAAATTTGTAAGCCAAAATCTGTAAAAATTAAATGACATTACTATATCTTACAGATTTATAGTTTACAGAATATTTTTCAGAATGCTACCCATAGTCACGTTGTATATATCTTAGTATATAAGGACGTATAATATTTTTATTCCATTTTAATTAGTTTTTTTATTTATAATATATTATTTTCTAGTGTCTTATAAGTGCTCTTCTAACTGTTGCCGCTGCTTCTCCACTACCTGAAGCAAATGCGGAACCGAAAGCTGATCCAAAACCAGAAGCAAACCCTCAGTTTTTAGCTGCCTACGGAGCGCCTGTAGTTGCTGCGCCTGGACTTGCCTACACCTCTGCCTATTCAGCTGCTCCTCTAGCCTATTCTAGCTACGTAGCACCACCAGTCTATGCTGGAGCTTATTCTTACTATTCACCATACTTGTTCTAGTTCGATGATATATTTAAATATTTAAATTTATTTATTTTGTAATTTAAGGATGAGAATAAAATTATGAAGCATTTATTTATTTTTTACTATTTTACCTTCTAAAATTCAAATTTGGTTAAAGAACAACCTACGTACTCTAAACGTAAAAAAAAACTAAATTTATGGCCCTCACTTACATAATTATTACACAACACCTAATTTTCACTTAAAGTAGCACAAACTTTTTATTTTTTTAATAAAATTGTATAAATTAGTTATTCAAAAAAGAATTTTGTAAAAATATTTTTTTCATTAATTTTTCGATTTTCTTGAAAATGTTTCTTACTTTATAATTATGTTACGTACTCTAAACGTAAAAAAAAACTAAATTTATGGCCCTCACTTACATAATTGGACGTAGTTATGCAGAAATGATCCAATCCACAAATCTACCAGAAATGACTTGAGTAGCTTTTCGATATGTTACAGTCCAAAATTATATTCTGCTAAAACGATCCAACAATTTAGAAGGATATTAATAGTGAAAATCATAAATACTCGCTATATATTCTATGTTCATCGCGTAGAGAATTTAACTTTAAACATCATTTTTCTCAAAATATGGTTTAGGTGGATTGGATCATTTCTGCATAACTACGTCCAATTATTACACAACACCTAATTTTCACTTAAAGTAGCACAAACTTTTAATTTTTTTAATAAAATTGTATAAATTATTAATTAAGAAAAGAATTTTGTAAAAATATTTTTTTGATTAATTTTTCGATTTTCTTGAACATGTTTTTTACTTTATAATTATGTTTATATCATAATTAGTTAATTTTTTAGCAGGTATATACAAAAATTCCTACTGCCGGGATTATTTTGGAATTATTCTAAAAATATACCTTCTCAAAAAGTTTTTATTAGATAGTTTTCTAGAATTTATAATGGTTTGTAAGTACTATCTGTGATATATGTTAGTAACACTGTACATGATTTGGCAGCAGTGGGTACCTGACAGATTGTACAGTTGAAGTATGAAATAAAGATTCTATATAGAGACACGAAAGTAATCAGGTAGTTTTATTAACCTCCATCATTACACTATCCAATAATTTTTATTAAATATTCAATTTTTATACTATGTATTTTGAGGATTTTCGTTTTGGTTTATTTTAAATATTTTTAAGAAAGTTTCGTAGACTTGTATGTTTGAGAAAATCTTGAAAACCTTTAAAATATACAGTGTGTGCCATTTAAGATGGAAACACCCTTGTAGAACCCGTATTTGACAGATTATTGGAACTATTTTTTCTTTTAGGGTCATAGAGGGTCAAACAATTTAATAACAAATCTTAAATAATTAGGCTACATTTTCAAGAAATGCTTTGATTATTATAAATAGTTGAAGATAGCAAAATTATATTAGCCATTTTTTTTATAAAAAAATCTAATACTAAAATTTTGTTAAAATAAGACTTAGGGCCAGTCTCTTCACCTCTGAGTAAAGTTGAAAGTAACTACTTGCTGATTAAACTATTAGGCTATTGACTATTTGTTAATCTGTCAAGTAAATTTACATGTAACTTTACTCAGAGGTGAAAAGATCGACCCTTAATATATTATTTCATAATTTATATGTCGACCTTTGCGATATTAAAATTTGTAAATAAATGACTGAACTTAACTTGACAAAAATTTTCTCTAGGAATATCTTGATGTCGTAGTCCACAACCAATTTCTTCAAACTTTAATAAAATTACTTCATTAGTTCACTGTATTTGGGATATTACTACTGATATTTCACTGTTCAACTTTGATCGTTTTCAACAAACATATTAAGTGGCAGTCAACGTGTTAAAAGGTCCAATCCTAATATACCAAAACAGTATCTTGGCATTTATGATAATTATAGAGGAAACTTCAAACGGAAGTTTATTTATTTGTTATTTTTTTTGGCAAAATGACAAAATCGTTAAACACCAAATTAGTAAACACATTATTTTATTTTGCCAAGGCAATAAATATACGATTTAATTTACGATTGCTCCATTGCAGATAAAAATATGTACCACACAGGCATTAAATTTCCAGATTTTTATTACTTTCTCATACACCTGTCTAGATAACAAGAATCGTAAAATTGTTTTGTGTTGTAGTCTGTGTAAGGTTAGAACTAGCACGAATTGACTTATTTTATCGAAAGCCATCATTGGGCTGCAATTTTACTGACTTTTATATGGGCTACTAGAGATTTATATTCAAAGATATATAACCAAGAAAGATATGAAAATTTGAAAATATTTTGAAGCCAACATCATCATCTTCGAGCAATTACTACTAGAAGAGGCGTGAAACAAATTTGTACGCGATTGTTGTGTCCGCAACATCTGTAGAGGAAGTGACGAAGCAGGCACAAGGGGGAAGGTAAACAACCCATTTGTTCAGTGGCGTATCATTTCTCTATAAGAACACACATTGTCCAAACTTTTTAACTGTAAAAAAACTAAAAAATTCTTTAATTTTACTAGTTTTAAAATGTATACCGTCTTGTACGTGTCTGATGCAAGAAATAAAACAAAATCACTGTTAAAGTCTAATTTTTAAAGAATAAAACCTTAAAATCAATACATTAATTTTATTATAAATAAATACAGGAGCGACTAGTTTTGGCTTCACAGGGACATCTTCAGGCTTGTAATACAACAATCTTTAATTATTATAATAGGAACAATATAAGAATAGGTTGGTCACTCACGATTAAAATTAAATAGTATAAATCACAAAAATGGATCCATATTGTAGCGTTACAGTATTATAGAATTAAAGCTGTGGAAAAGGAAAAATAAAAGAGCAGTGCAAACTTAACTAAAAATAAGCAAAATAGGTACGGAATCTACAAGAGAATGGGTGAGAATGAGTAATTACAAATGTATTTAAGTTGATCGGGATAACAAATAAGGATGATATATTAATTGAGAATTATATTTGTGAAGGCTGTTTTAATAATATTTTCAAAAGTTCTTGGAATTGTTGTTAACAGAAACTTGCAAAAAATATTTAATTTTTTTCCCTAAAGGTCCTTAATTCTAAACAGTTCTGTAACCATACCATTTATAATCGAAACCAAAACACTGCCAGAACAGTCAAATGTCAAAAAGTAAATAAGAAGAAATAACACAGGGTCAATGTTTAAGTAAAGAAAAGGCTATTTAATATTGTAAAATTGTAAAAAGAGAACTTAAAAAAGAAAAACGAAGATTTGTTGAAGTCAAATAAGATATTTTCTCATATAATCAAGCATTATTATGATTTCAGGAGAGCAATATTTAAGAAAAAAAAATTTAAACAGTTATTTTTTGATAGAAAATTAGCTCTTCCCAAAAGAAGATTCTATGCAAAAAAAAATATAATTAAAAAACTTAGGAGAAATATATTTTACACAATGGATTGGAATTTTTAAATAGAATGATAGGATATATATAAAAAATAACTCTTTTATCAAAAGTACAGATACACTTGTGGATGTAAGAATTATTTCCAGTAATTTTCATAAATGTTTTTAATGATGAGGAAACATTTTATTTATATATGTTATTTTAGATCACTTTAGTTTATTTTTTAGGCTATTTTTGCAAGTGTATCTAAGGAATTGCTCAAGAATAGCAATTAAAGATTATTCCAGAACAAAATACTCCCCGTTTGCACTAACTTTAAGCTTCTACAGTATGAAGGATAGTAAATATCTACTGCGCATGCTCCAAAGAGTTCTGGAACAGTTACGAAAGTGAATCAAAATAAAACTGTAGTAACCCATAATAAATCCTTGATTTTAAGTGAATAAATCGGACATACTAGTACGAACATGTTTAAACAGTGTATTGTGGGCAAAAACAGACATATTATTGATGTTTCATTCCAAAAGTAAGCTAGCTCAAAACAATTGTATTTTAATAATAAGCTAAAAATACTCATATGATTTCTAAAAACAAAATTTATTTTTTTTATTTAATATTAGAAAATTAACAAATTTTTAATATTAAACTATTAATATTTAAAATTTTAAAAATAAAATAAAATAAAATAGCGCATCATTCAGGAAGAAGTTACTTTTCCACTTTGCATAGGTTAATGTCCAGAACCCATCATCATCTTGTAAACAAATAAAAAAACTTAGTAATCATTCCCAATTTGTTCCTGAAAAACACTTCTAGAGTAAATACACTGCAAAGAAAATAATCTTTGTTTTGAAAAACAATGTATTAGTTATTTTATAATACACAAAATTAATTGAACTTTGCTCTTTACTTATTCTATTAATTTTTCTTTTAAATTGAGCCAAGTATATTGAAGCTAATTTCACAGAACAATAACCCTTTACAATGTTGAATAGAATGTAGAATATTAAGAGCCCAGTTTTCTGTATGAATTCCAAACATAAAAACAAAAAATTAAATGGTTTTCATGTTTAAATTAAAAATGTTTAAAAATATTCTACTGTCCCTAATTTATATCCATAACAAATTGTTAAAAGAGACAAATTAAACAATCATTTTTTTGTATTAATTTATTCCAAAGGAATGTATTAGTATGTGAAGTCACACTTAACCTTCTTACCAAACTTCGTATTACAGATTATGCAATAATTTAAATCACTGTATAAGGTTAACCCCCATTAAAGGCTGCTGGTAATTAGAAGTATAAATTGATGGATGATTTGGGGTAGGATATCAGTTTCAGTTCCTTTGCTCAATACAACAGTAATAAAACAAATTATATTCAACATGTTCAAAATCGTAAGTAATATTTTGAATAAATTCAAATTATAGGTTTTCAAAAAAATTCAATTAGAAATTACTTTAAATTTAAATCAGGTTTTATGGTAATATTAATTTTATGCTTTTTATTAACAACTACCTAAACATAAGCTGCGGATAAAGTCATACAATATAACTTTCTTATTATTCATTTTAGAAACAAATGTTTGATGTAAAATTATAAAAGTCCTCCATAAGTCTATTGT